AACTTTAAATTTTGACATTCTTTTTCTTACAGAGCCTTCCTAATATTCTCACCGATGATCGATTTAAAGTTATGTTTGAGAACCCTGACTTCCAAGTAGACGAAGAGAGTGAAGAATTTAGACTTCTGAACCCACTCGTTTCCAAAATTAGTGAAAAAAGGAAGAAGAAACTGAGACTCCTAGAGCAACAGGAACTTCATGGAAAAGTAACATACTGTTTATTGTTTAGAATTTGTGTAATATTTAGTTTTATGTATAAGTTGGAAGAGTCATTGAATAAAGCTGTAATTTGTTTGACCTTCAGCTTAGGAGAATATACCTTCTTTCATTAAAGAAGGTATATTTTTTTCCCATTTACGCAATGTCACAGATTCTGATAGGTTAACGCTATTTAAAAGGAAATAACGGTTGGTATTTTTGGCAGAGGGAAAGGAGCTGCTTCTTACTATTTTTGTTTTCAGGAAGAGGAGGAAGAACCGGAAGGAAAACCAAGTGATGCAGAAAGTTCTGAGAGTTCAGATGATGAAAAAGACTGGGTCGCAGAGGTCAGGAAACAGCGCCGGCTTCTCCAACAGGAGGAAAAAGTGAAGAGGCAGGAACAGCTCCGGGAGGATCAGCAGACGGTCCTCAAGCCGCAGTTCTATGAGATCAAAGCTGGCGAGGAGTTCAGAAGCTTCCAAGATTCAGCCACAAAACAGAAGATGATCAAGTGAGTAATGCTGCCCCCGGTGCTGGCTTGCTCGATGTCCAGCCTTGCTCTTCCTGGCTGGCCCTGTGCCTTCAAGGGGTCATATTGATCTTTGGAGTTCATGTGACAGTAGCAGCCCAAGGCCAGAGGGGACATAACACTGGTCCTTACTGTGGTGATTCTGAACAACCTTTTGAGGCCTGGTTTACATAGAGTAAGATGCAGGGTGTGGCCCCAGGAGTATTGGTAAATACGTACATTAAAGCACTTTGATTCCGCAAAACCCACACTCTTAAAAATGATGGTGGCAATTAAAGAGGTAACAGCTTCTTTCACAAAAAGTTATTTTTAAAATATTTCAGTTACATTTACTCTCATCGTAGTTTATCTGAGTATTTAAAAAGTCACTTGGAAAATTTGCCAGAAATTTTTTTTAGCTTTATATAGGAAAACAAAGAGATCAGAAAGAGTGGTATTCTGGAATAGGTGAGTACACAGGGACAGAAAGTGGAATGGTGGTTGCCACGGTTGGGGGCTGGGGAGACACCACTTAATGAGCTACGGGGTTTCCATTTGAAATGATGAGAAAGTCGTAGAAATGGATAGTGATAATGGTTGCACAACAATGTGAATGTTCACTGAAGAATGGTTAAAATGGTAAGTTTTATGGTTAAATATTTTACCACAGTAAAAATAAATAAAAAAGAAATCCTTTAAAAGAAATGATATTATTTGAACAGTCTCAGTTGTCAGGTGTCTAAGTAAGGAGTTAGGTACTTAAGCCCCCAGTGTTTATAAGTCACATGAGAGTCACATGAAATTCTCTGCTTTGAGAGTTTCTCGGCCAAGTGTTGATATACAGGATCTGGATGTGATAGAGTAGACAGTCTTGTAAGAAGAGCTTAAAGGTCTGGAGGGCCAAGGGGAAAGGGCAGGGGGAGCCAAGCAAGGCAGGTGAGGTGTCAGATGGGGGCTGTACCAGTTCTGTACCCTGTGCTTTTCTAACCCCCAGCTTCCTGGTTTGAAAATTGTGCTTTTTCAGACAGAAGAAGAGGGGAAAGGTGGGGAGGACATTGATAGATAGACAGAATTATTTCTTAAATGGAGAGTTGCCTGTTCATCTTTATTTTGCCAGTTTCTAGCAAATGTCTGAGACATGAAATGTTGAGGGAATCCTTCAACTTAGATATAGGAGCATCTAGAAATTCTGGCTCTGCCTAACAGAAGATAAGTTGGTAGACAAACAATCTAATGATAGGTTTAATATCTCATGAAGAGATTTTCTTAACCTACCAACCTCACTTTTTTTTGGTTAACAAGTTTCTTTAACTATAATTTACATAACAGACAGTCACATACTTAAAGTATATAGTTCGTTGGTTTTTGGTATAGTCACAGAATTGGGCAGCCACCACCAGAGTCAGTTTTAGAGCATTTTCATCACAGCCCCACAAGCAGAATTCCTTACCCCGTCCGTCAGTATTCACTCCCATTTACTCCACCTCATCTTACCTCCAGGCAAACACTGATCTGTTCTCTAGCTCTACAGGTTTGTCTGTTGTGACGTTTCATGTGGATGTAATCATATATGTGGCTTTTTGTCCCACTGCTTTCACTTGGAATGATTTTTTAATGTTCATCCGTGTTGTTGCATGTGCCGGTAGTCCATTCAGTTTTATTCCAGGGTGTGGGTAATGCCGCATTTTATTTATCCATAGATCAGTTGATGGGTATGCGTGGTGTGTCCACTTGTCAATGCTGCTGTGAACATTTGTATATGTGTTTGCATGGACACATGCTTTCATTTCTCCTGGCTGCATACCTAGGAGTGGGACTGCTGGTCACATGGTAATGTTATGTCTAACCTTCTGAGAAACTGCCAAACTTTTTTCCGAGAAGACTGCTTCCCTTTATGTCTCCATCAGCAGTGTGTGCAACTCCACTTTTTATGTAGCTGTCACTTGTAGATTTTTACCTGGAGTCCTAGTCAGAAGCAGAGGGAAGACTGCTTGTTTTCAGTATTCTGTTTCTATGGAGTGAATTTCTTTGTTAGATGATCTGCTGTTTTTGTCTTGCGTTATTAACTTTACCTCAAGCTCCTGGATCTGTGTCTTGACCCGAGTAGGCACTTGATAAATCCTTGTGAGGGTGTGGATCTTCTGTGCACTGATTCCTTATCAGGCAGCCCTGGAAGTTACTCTTCCAAGATGTGCTGAAAAAGAACTCATTTACCCGAAAACCACTGACCAGGACAGTCTGGGAGCAGTCGTTTCAGTGTAACCATGGTAACAGCTGCGATTTGAGGGTGGGAGACATGACCAAACTGTCTGACATTCTTTTTTTGCCTGTGAGCTTTGGTAGGATATTCATGTAGAAAACAAATGGGATGTACATTTAGTATTTAATGAATAATGATAGCCAACCTAATACACTGCAGTTACACATTCTTACTAAGTTAAGCATCAATAAATTAGACAGTTGTTTTGAGAAGAGGAGCTGTATGAGCGATAATCCTTACACAAGCTTAAAAGTCGTACTGCTTAAAGTAACCACCCTTTGGTAGGAATAGCCCGCAGTTTGCTGGCGTTTGGGCACACACTGCTTGTTGAATTCTAGTCTTGACTGGATTATTTTGGCAAATCCTGAACTTGTAATGTTCTAATATTATTTAATGAAGCATTGCACCATTATCCTTCAGAGAGCTAAAGTGACTCCTTATGTTTATTCTTGGAGTTACCACAAGGCAATCAGCAAAACACAGCATCGGGGTCAAATGGATTATGTTTGAAAGTTCACTTGGACTTGCTCAGCTTTAAAACCACTTCAGTTTTTAAAACCAGAGCGAGTTCTCTCCGTCCCTTAGCCTGGTAACAAGAGCTTCAGATAAATACATATGTCTGTCAGCACATTCTTATGTGCCTTCCAGTGTGCTGTGCTTTCCTTCTGAGTTTATTCATCCACCTGTCAACCTCTCCACCCACCCATCCATCAGTCAGACAGTTGTCTGGTGCCTCGGGTGAGCAGAGTGCCGTCCTGGGCCCTGGGGGTGGGAAGGAAGGGCCCAGCTCACAGGCCGGAAGCACCGCCGTTCTCACCGGGGCTCTGTGAGCTGTCCGGAGGCCCTGGGAACGTGTGCGAGGAAGAAAGGGGGTGGATTTTTAGAGGTTCACTGAAGTCTTAATTAGAGGTCGTATTGAAACTGGTCTTTTGACAGAAAAAGGGTGAACACAGAGAGCAGGGTGGGAAAGCTGGCTTTCTTGGCCAAAGGGGCCATATGAACAGGACTGCTGTGGAGGCGAGGGAAGAACGGTGGTCGTGGGGTGAGAGCCCAGAGCGCACGGCAGGGAGCACAGCCCAGAGCACAGTCCGGGAGCCGGGGAGGCAGGCGAGTGAGGCCCTGGCCCTGGCCCTGGCTGAGATACGGGTGAGCCAGGGGAGACTGGGGCTAAGATTATCATGATCAGATCTGTTCAGTCCCTCCTCCCAATTATGTAAATATTTAACAGTAAAAGCAGTACATGTTTGTTGAAGAAAATAAAAGCATAGGCGTAACAAAGCCCTATTTCCCAGAAATTGCTAGTGAAATACTGCAGTTTTAGAGATAAAATGCAGGGAGAAACTGGGCCCATGAGATCAGCTAGCCAATCATAATAAAGCAGTCCCAGGGGCAAGTGATGAAAGCCTGACATGGGGTGGAGAGGAGCAGACAGACGTGGAACCAGATTATTCCTGAGCGTGTCTAAGAATAAGACACACACTGCAACATCATTTGATTACTAATTTAATATCAAAGGAGTTGGGGCAATGTTGAAATGTCTAGCAGTGTTACCACTGAGATAAAGGATACAGAATGAAAAACAAATTTAAGGCTCAACGTATTGAGCTGGGTGTTCAGCACATTGAGTCCCCAAGACCCATGTGTCCTGGTCATGTTCGGCTGACAAATGGGAATGTAGAAGCTAGGCCAGAGACACTGGTGTAAGAGATACCAGCCTCCCTGTGGGGCTGAGACCCTGACATATAAAGACTCTGCAGAAGTGTGTACACAATAAAGCCCTTAGAAACAACAGATGTTTTTCTTAAGTCTGTGGTGGAAACCATGCACTTCTCTAAAAGCATACAAGTGTGCGCAAAGTAACACATACGGTTTTAGAGGTGTCAGGAATATATTGCTAGCCCGGGGCTGAGAGGTCTGATTTAGAGGGCTGGTGAAGGAGAAGGTGGGCAGTAAACAGTACTAAGGAGTTGCCCAGAAGGTGGGGGGAACTGGAAAGAGCCATGCTTGGAGAGAATGTCACAGAGAAGGACGTGGTACTGATGTCGGGTGCAGAGGGGGTCCCCAACATGGAGGCGTGGCCATGGGAAGAGTGTCAAGGTCAAGAAAGGAATGGGCGAAAAAAGAACATTGTAAACAATTAGCATAGATGGTTCCTTCAGGATACTGGCAGTGAAAGGAAGGAACCAAGGCCAATAGCTTGACAGGAGAGGGTTTTTAGGCTTGAGAGGTGTCTTATTAGTATGCAGAGAGGAATTAACCATGGAAAGGGCAGAGTGACAAAATGACTGGACTGAATTGGCGGGGCTGTACCGGGTGAGCAGTCAGGAGCGAATGGGGCCAAGAGCCACCAGTTAAAGAGATGGTCCATCTTCAGAAACCAAGGAGAGAAGTCAGGATGGGTGGGAGTGACTCTCTTTCTAGGTAGAAAGAGAGGATGTTCACGCTGGCCTCTGTTGGGAATCGGGGCATGTGACCCCCTTCAGTTACCAGGGTAGCCTCGGTCTGGGGCACCTGATGTATGTGCTGGGGGTGTCTGTAGGTGAACCCATGAGAAAGAGTCTTTAGGATAGCTTTCCAGATTTCAGTAGCAGAGGATAGCTCCTCTTCTTAGGTGATAAATGCTACGTGTCGGGAGGCCCTTTCAGCTCAATTCATGAAAACATTCTTTGAAGCACCTACCCTGTAGTCGTTGTAGTTGTTGTTCAGTCACTAAATTGTGTCCAACTCTCTGCGAAGAGATTTTCTGCCTTCAAGGAACTCTTCGTCATCAGGTACTTTGGTATCTCGTGGTGAGCTGCTTATCATGTCTGCAACCTTATCCTCTTTGAATTAAACAACTGTGGCCAGCTTTTCCTCGCCAGCTAATTTCCTTCTCACTGATAGTGGATAAGAACTAAAAGTCTAATTCTGAAAGAAATTCCTTTTCAAACTTCCTCTTTTTTTTAAAGAGAATCTTTTATTACTCCAGTAATCAGTACTCCACGGATACACAAGCATGTTATCATCGCTGTGTGTGTGTCTTTATTATCACAAGCATGCTATCGCTGAAATACAAATGTAGGATGGAAGGTAACAGTCTTCTCTCCCCCGACACTCCCTTCCTGAGGTCCTAAGTGACCTCCTGGTCACTCCCAGGTATGCACACACTCATTTGTACAGTTGTGGATAGCACTATCTTCATTGAAAAACAAGTTTTGAAATGTTTTCTTTGTAAGTGCGTGGAGGTTTGCCTTATGGCTGCATAAGTATTTCATAAGGTGGATGGGCCATAATACCTAATTTTGAATGTTTAGGTTGTTTCTTGGTTTTCTCCTCCATTTTGACAGTTATAAATATGTACCACGTGCAAGAATTTCTGTAGGCCATATTACCTGACGATGGAGCTTGCTGGGTCAGAATAGGTGTGTGTGATCAGTGTGGCCAGGTCGTCCTCCAGAAAGGCCTCGTGTGCCTGTCTCCCCCACACTGGCAACAGCAGTGGAACCTTCTCAGATTTTAACTGAGCAGAAGGTTGAGCTAACAGGTGGTGGTTGCCTGAACTTATATCTGCTGCAGTAGAAGCTTTGAAGCAATGTGTGCAAACTGGAAGCGCTCAGAGTTTCAGTAACCTTTAAGTGTTACAAAGTTACATGTTTAAAACAAAGTGCTTAAAATTCACCATTTATCTGTGGATTCATTTCTCTACTCTCCTTGTATCCCCTTTAATGCAGACTAGGAAGGGGTGATTCCTTTATTTTCCGTCAGTTTACCTCTTCTCTGTGCCTTTATGGATGTCTTCCATTCTCTCCCTCCGTTTCCTCACAAAATGATTTTAACTCCAAGAAGGAGCATTATTTTTAATTAAATATCAGCGCATGTGTGCTTTAGAGCCTCAAAGAAGTAAATCATTCAGCTCTCCTGGAGCATCTAATAAATACCTTAGTATTTCCCCCTGGAGTTTATGCCCCCTCCTCTTTCTTCTAATACAGCTGTACTGATCATGTAGGTTCTTGACCTTGTGTCCACTCCATCCTGTGCTGAGTACTTCTCTCACTTTCCACCTTCTATAGCCCATGTATCTGTCTTGGCAGTCCCCGCAGTCATCTCATGAAAAAAGCTTTTTTTTCCTCCTGAAATTCTTGACTTGACCATCAATTACAAAGTAGCCAGAGGCCCGCCGACTTAACGCCTGGACAGGGGTGGAGCGGGACTGGGAGGGCCAGCCGTCCTGGGCGAGTGTGAGAAGGACAGGCACCGGGGCTCCTGCTATTTCTTCTTTGTCCACAGTAGGCAGTCTGCAGGGGTCTGGCCATGTCTCCCATCGTCTCTGACTGAATTCACACTTGGGTAGCAGGCTCAGGGACTGCTGGTTCGCAGCCGCATTCCGCAGGCTGACTTTGAAGGGAGGAGAGTGGGACCTGCTTTACCGCAGAAGCCTCTGCCCTTGGCCCCCGCGTCTGATCCTCTGCCACGGCTCCTTCCAAGCTCAGGTCTCTCCAGGGAGCCGAGACAGGACAAGTCTCTACAAGCGCACGGCCGGGTACCTGGAGAGGAGACCAGAGCTGCTCTGCCCTGTCATGGAGGAGCTGGGTCATCCTGAGAAGGGTAGTAATTTCCCGCAGTTTACTTGAAAAGTCTTTTTCTTCCCAAATTAGCGTTCTCTGTGTACCACCTCGTCTCAGTGGCTCCATGGTTACTCAGAATTCCTGCTGCCTTCAAAATCTCAGCGTTTATAGCCCTGAAAAGAAAGACCAAAAATGAGATGAACGGCCAAAGGCATTTGCTGAGGCTGACATGAGTCACACGTATGCTGGAGTCGGTTTACACTTTACTTTTGAATTCTGGTTTTAAAAAAAAAGAAAAGGCGAAATCAAACGTTCATTTCACTCAGTTTGTCATGTGGAAGCTTGTCATTTAGAATACTTAATGGACACATTTCCTGAACAAAATTTATAAATCAAGCATAGTCTGACACACGCCTGGAAACCAGGAATTCTTAAATTGGAATCCTGGTTTTAGACTTGAATCCTTCTGTGGCCTGGGGCAAGTCATAGAATATCTTACCTCCCTTTTTGCCATCTGTATGTCTCAGGGATGTTGAAAGGATTAATTAGTTAGTCTGTTAAGAACTTTGAAGATGAAAAGTACTTTAAAAGTGCTTCTTAATAGCATTATTGCTTAGAAAAGAGTTGCCACTTTTATGCTAACCACTTATGTCTCAAATTATATAAGGAAGGTATATTTAGTACTAACTAGTAGTCGTAAACTAGAGGTAGAGCTTTCAAAGCTGTGAACATCAAACACTGGCTTTCAGAATTTCAAAGGAGCATCACTTTGTCTCGTGGAGCTGTGTTCTCGTTAATTAGTCCCGAAGATCGTATTTCAGGAAAAAGACCATTTCATACAATGTACCACCACCACCACTCTCTTTAAAATTCAGGCAAGCATTTAAATTGAAAAAGGGTGCATTCAGTTTTAAGTTGGTGCAAGGAGTATTGGAAAGGGAAGTGTTTTTTATTTTTTTTTTTTTTTTTTTTTTTGAGGAAGGAACTGAATAGAAGAGACAACCTTATTCTTTTTGGTTCCGTCTTCTCTCCTCTCCCAATTTCATCCCAGTGATGTGAGGGTATTGCTTTAACCTTTTCTAGAGGGCTTCCCAAATCCACCTGCCAGAGGAGATGCAGGTTCGACCCCTGGGTCAGGAAAATTCCCTGGAGGAGGAAATGGCAACCTACTCCAATATTTTTTTCTTTTTAATTGAAAAATAATTGCTTTACAGTATTGTGTTGGTTTCTGCCATACATCAACATGAATCATAACCACTCCAGTATTTTTAACCTGGAGAATCCCATGGACAGAGGAACCTGGCAGGCTCCAGTCCATGGGGTCGCAAAGAGTTGGACATGAATGAGCACTCACACATGCAGAAGGTCCAGAGCTAACATTAAAACTTACTGAAAATATCTGTCTTTAGACTTAGTTCTGTTTTTTCTCTCTAAAGCAAGTTAACACTGATGTGCTTTTATAATAAAGCATTATTATAAGAACATGTAATGAAGTGTTATATAACTGGTACTAAATTCAAATTCAGAATCAACATCTTGACTGTTATAGATGCAGTGAGTTGCCAGGCGCAGCAAACCATAACAAGGACAAAGATTATAGAAAGAGACTTTAGAAACATGACAAGAAATGAAATTTGAATTGGGGGTTAATTGTGTCAGAAAGTAAGTCAAGTAAGAAGTTGAAAGGAGAGGTAGCCCTGAATCAGGCTAAGTCAGAACTTATCCCCATTCTTTTGTTATCTCCATGTCATCAGATGATCTCATGTGTCAAGTTGCTTGTGCTGTGGGTAATGAGTGTGGTCGACAAGCTAAGACCGAGTGAAGGAAAAGTTAGAGTTCTCAGCACTTCTGTGTGGCTTGACCCGGAAGGCTTTGTTTGTGTTCACTACTGTGTAGAAGGTGAATGAGTTGCTGAGATGCTCACATACCTAACTAGTGCCTGGATTTAATATAAAATGCTTTAGCAGCTTAAGTGCCTCTGACCGTTACCGTAAATTACATGCTTCAGAAATATGGCTCCTTTGCATTTTGGCTTCAGAAATGTGATTTAGTAACATAAATAGCAAGCATTGAAATATATGGAACCACTACTTAAAACACTTAATTAGTGGGTATTCAGGACAGCCATTGTTTCTACTGCATATTTGCTGAGTCTGGGTAATGACGGTTTGAGTGTCTGCAATTCTGTCCATTGATTGTGTTAAAACAAATGCCATTTTCTGTCTGTACCACATGTGTAAAAGGTCATTCTTCATGTGATCGATTCTAATTAAAGCTTGTTTCTAATGGGAAATCAAAACATAACCCTAATTAATGTGTCATTCTCTTAAATTTCCTGCAGTAAAACCCTTGAAGACCGGTTGAAACTTGAAGCAAAAAACGGAACATTGAGTGTATCTGACACCACGGTTGGCAGCAAACAACTGACTTTTACATTAAAGAAGGTGAGTTGCTTTCTCGTGTTCTTTTTAATTCACAGAAGGAAGACGAGGCTTCCAGCAGTGTTGTGTGTGTCTGACCTCAGGGCTGCCTTCCAGGCTTCCCCCTGTTGAGGGAGCGTGTGCTGTTTGGGCACTTTTTCCCTGCAGCTGGAGCCCCTCCTGGGTTGTGAGCACACTGCGTGGCAGAGCCTTGGCAGAGCCAGGCGTGTGTCTGGTGTCCCGAGGGAGGCAGGCCCCCAGTGACCCCAGACTCGGTACTACTGGCGAAGTGCCGCAGCATAGTTTCAGGGTCGCTGGGTCACTGAGGTGGGACCTTGTAAAACGGAAGTCCTGACCATCCACGGCTGTGAAAGAATAGTTCAGGCTCACATGGACTTGAAGATGATCAAGAACTGGTGATTTCCAACGCGTTCATGACAGTGCAATCAGCTTGCCCAGGGTAGATAGTTTAAGGAGCCACATTACTCTATCCGCAGTAGGTCCCATTCTAAACTGACTTAACAACAGTCATTTCTAAGCCACCTTTGATGACACCTGGCATACAGTGAAGGAAGAATAAGCTGCTTTAAATATTTGCTATGAACTGATGAGTGAAGAAGCTCCATGGTTTTATTTTTCAAAAAAAATTTTTTTGTTATTTAGTCACTCTCACTTAATATGTATTGTCACAAAGAGGGAAAGAATGACAAAGACTTCACTTCTGATCCTTTTCTTAAATTGAGATATAATACAAGTATCTAAAATCCACCCTTTTAAAAATTCACAGTTCAGAGTTTTTAGTAGTCACCAAATGCTGTGCTCATTATCACCATCTAAATCTGGACCATCCTCGTCACTCCAAAAGGAAACCCCACCCTCTCGTGTCCTAGCCTGTGGGTTTGCCTGTTCTGGACATTGTGTATATATATAGAATCATACAACGTGTTTTCTTTTGTGACCGGCCTCTCTCACCTTAGCGTGTTTTTAAAGGCTAATCCTTGTTGCAGTGTGTATAAGAGCTTTATTCATTTTCATGACTGAGTAATATTTCATTTTATGGATATACCACAGCTTGTTGTTTAGTTGCTAAGTTGAATCCCACTCTTTTTCGATATTATAGACTGTAGTCCACCAGGTTCCTCTATCCATGGGATTCTCCAGGCAAGAATACTGGAGTGGGTTGCCATTTTCTTCTCCAGGGGATCTTCCTCACCCAGGGATCAAATCTGTGTCTCCTTCATTGACCAGTGGATTCTTTACCACTGAACTATCTAGGAAGCCCATACCACAATTTGCCTTAATCTGATGGTGGACATTAGGGTTGTTTGTTTTTTTAACATTTTGAGGAACGACTAGACTGTTTTCCAAAGTGATGGCACCATTCCCCATTCCCACCAGCAGTCTGTGAGGGTTCTATTTTTTTCCTCATCCTTGCCAGTACTTGTTACTGTCGGTCTTTATTGTAGTCATCCTTGTGGGTGTGAAGTGGTATCTCACTACGGTTTTGATTGACATTTTCCTGATGACTAACAATGGTAGAGCATTTTTTTCATGTGCCTATTGGCCATTCATACATTTCCTTCGGAGAAATGTGTTCACAACCTCCGCTCATTCATCTCTGGTTGTTGACAGTTCTTTCTGATGTCGTCAGAAGGCCTGCCAAATGATAAGGATATTTTTTACTTAGTTACTGTTCATTATCTTATATAGACACAATTAAAAAAAGAGAGCAGAAAAAGAAACAATATTGTTTTTTCTTTGTGATGAGAACTCTAAGGATTTACCCTCTGAACAGCTTTTCCTGTAGTCTTCACACTGTACATCACACCCCTAATACTCCTTTATCGCATGACTGAAGTTTGTACTTTTGATCACCTTTTCCCAATTCCCCCTCTTCCCACTCCCCGATTAGAACTTTTTTATTCTGTGGGTAAGAAGCTTTTCGGTTTAATCTGTCTCCACTTACAGCAAACTTGCATCTTACATTTTTCATTTAAATAAGCCAAAACTGGCTGTGTGTTCAAGCTAACTCATTGTGCCTAGTTTCTTAGAGATTCTCTGTGTACCTGCGAACGTTTCCTAATTTCCTCTGAAGTTCATGATGCTGAGGGGGCGGCAGGCGCAGGCCTCCTGTGGGAAGACCTCACAGTCTCCCAGCTGCCCGGCCCAGGGCTCCCTCTGCCGCACGGGGTGAGCTGGGAGGACGCGAGCACACTCCTTCCCCACATTTCCCCAGTTGGAAGGTACTGAGTTCAGTATCAGTTTATGATTTGTTGTAAACTGAAAATAAGATGGCTCTGATTCCCTCCCCCCCCCCCAAAAAAAAAAGCGTGCTACCCTGATGGCAGCGGTAGAGAATCTGCCTGCAACGCAGGAGACATGGGTTTGCTCCCTTGGCCTGGAAGATCCCCTGGAGGAGGAGTTGGCAACCCATTCCAGTATTCTTGCCTGGGAAACTCCTTGGACAGACAAGCCTGGTGGGACAGACAGTCCATGGGGTCGCAAAGAGTTGGACACAGCTTAGTGACTAAACTGCAACACAAAAACGAAACATTTAAGTGAAAATACTTAAAACAGCCTGGCGGTTGAGTCTAGCAGAGGCTTTGAAACTAGTTTGGGGAATGCATCAATTGGCATTTGGCTCATGCCTGTTTCATCCTTTGACTAATAGAATTTCAACTATTAAATCTTAGTTTTATTTAAGAATTTTTATGGAATTATTATTTGTGGGTTTTTTTTTAATACAAATCCTTTTATACTAGGTGTGTGATATATTCAGGTAAAATCTCAAGTTTTCCTAGTATTTTCATATGTACTTTCTAAAATGTTAATCAAATTGAAGGAGAAAAACCTATGCTTTAATATTATTTAAAATTGCTTAGTGGCAAAACTAGGATTAGGTCCCAGATTCTACTTTTAAATACCCTGTAGTTCATTCCCTCAGGGGCCCTGGGCCAGCCAGGTACGGGTGCAGGGGTGGGCTTTGCATTTAGTCTCCCCCGTCCTGAGATAGGGCTGTCGTGGATGTGGGGAAGGAGTCAGGACAGGAACAGGAAGGAGAGTCAGCTGGTTGGCTCTTCACTTGTAACGAATCAGTCACACAGTGGCAGCAGCTTGCAAATACAGCTCTTCTTTAGATCGGGGATAAGGAGTTTTTTTCTGGAAAGGGGCTTCCCAGGTGCCACAGTGGTAAAGTGGTAAAGCCTGCCAATGCAAGGGATGCAAGAGACCCAGGTTTGATTCCTGGGTCAGGAAGATCCCCTGGAGTAGGGAATGGCAACCCACTCCAGTATTTTTGCCTGGAGAATCCCATGGACAGAGAAGCCTGGCGGGCTGCCACCCATGGGTGACAAAAGAGTCAGGCACAACTGAGCACACGCTTGTTTCTGGACAGAGGTTTTTCTGCAGGGATCGCTGCTACCTCTGAGCTCACGCATAGACACCTGCCTTTGTGGGGACTCCACGGCCAGGGCCTCGTAGGGTGTGCTCCAGGAGACAGACGGGGGGGCTCCTGGAAGCTGGCTTTGCCACCACGCCCCCAAGGGAAATCCACTACAGATGTCTGTATTATCAAAGATGCAGAGCAGCTCCTGACGTAAAAAGCCCCAGCACTCCCTGTTTATCTTTACTTAGTACGTCATTTCCCAGAGTTACTTGGACCAGAGGCATTTTTAAAGGAATGCTTCTTAATATGAGAGCTTCCCTGGTGGCTCAGAAGGTAAAGCGTCTGCCTGCAATGCAGGAGACCCAGGTTTGATCCCTGGGTCAGGAAAATCCCCTGGAGAAGGAAATGGCAACCCACTCCGGTATTCTTGCCTGGAGAATCCCATGGATGGAGGAGCCTGGCAGACTACAGTCCACGGGGTCGCAAAGAGTCAGACACAACAACTTCACTTTTCTTAATGTGAAGAAACAGAATATTAAATAAGCAGTGTTCAGGGGCTTGCTGACACACCATCTTCTGGTCTGCTAGGGAGCGTGCAGTTTCCCTTGGCTTTCTGAGTTCTTCATTCACAAAGGAGCCTCAGCCTGCTCTCTGCCACGTGCTAGCGACACACAGAACAGACAGACGTGGCTGTGGGTGCCGCAGTCCCGTGGATGGAGGGAGATCACGTACAGTCACCTCATCGTAATGTGGGATGCGGAGGCCCAGGGCTGGGAGTGTTGGGCCCAGCCCAGCCAGAGGAGTGAGGGACGGCTGGGTGAGGGGCAGGCAGAGCCCCGAGGGGCTGGCAGGGCTCCAGCCTCTCTGGGGGGTGGGAGTGAGCCTATGTGTGTGAAACACAGCCGTCACGGGTCTGCCAACTGTGGCCTCACACGTAGCTGGAAAGGCACGTAGAGCTGTCAGTCGGGGCCCTGTCTGAGGTTAAATTTTAACCCCAGTCCTAAGAACCGTGGAAAGCGGTTGAAAAGGTCTAGTTAGCAGAAGATCGGCATGCCGTTTCTATTTTTAAATAGTTGCAGGAGGAGGCGAACTGAAGGTGGCTGACGGGTTCCTCACCCCGTCGTAGTGAGAGGTCAGGGCCGGCCTGAGGCAGGAGGGACCGTGCCCTGGGCTGGGTGGGGCCAGGAGAGGGACCTGCAGGGGACACACTTGGGCAGGGTCCCTTTGAGAAGGCTTTGAAAAATGGTACATAGTCAGGAAAAGAGCTCGATTCTCCAGAATCTCAGTCCAAGGGTTTCTTCAGATAGGAAAGAGTCAGCAGTTTTTGGTCTCACAAATCGTGTTCTTTTCTCATGATTCCTTCACCTCCCAACTCTTTCACTTTACAGAAGTGGAATAATCCCAGCAGTAAGTGAACACAGAGACTTGTTCTTCAAGGCGGACATATGTATGAGTACCCCCAGGTGCCTGGAGCTGGCAGGTCACAGGCCGGCTGTGCAGGTGTCCCTAAGGCAGCATTTTGCAACTTTGAAAGTGATTGCCCCACCACTGCTGTCAAAGTTGGACCTTCTGTCAGTTCCACCAGCTAAGATTTTTTTTTGAGCTTCACGGTTAGGGGTTTGTATTCTCCAAAACAGACTCAGTGGAATGGAGCTGTATTCTTAGAACTCCGAAGCTTCTCTTCCCTTCAGTGCAGATTCTGCACTGATGTAGCTCTCTTCTGTGAAACTAGTGACACTGTTTGGAGGTCTGGTTCTCTCACCTGAGTGTTGAGAATGGTGCCTTCAAAGCAGCCATCCCAGAACCCATTTGCCCCTTCCAGCCATGAACTTGGGATTGACTGACATGTCTGCTGAGCCTTTATCAGCATTTAGTGGTAGCTCTCTGCCTTTCAAGGGAGTTTGATTCTCTTTAGAACCAGCTCTGGGGGACTGGATGATTAATCGTGGGTTGGTTATTACACAGTTTTGGGACACAGATGGACTTCTTTTGTCTTTAAGACAACGTGAGTAAACTGATGAATGGCTCTGGCTTGTCAGCGAAGGACAGTTCCGCAAGAGAAGTTGTGGGCATTTGGAAAGCCATCGCATCTTCTTCAGGCTGGCTCTCCCCAGGGGACTCTGTGGCGTGTGGTCTGAGGAACCAGCCTCAGGCTGTGTGGTTCAGTCTGGTGCATCCAGGTCGCTCTCCGGCCCGGGGGATTTAGGGCTTCGGGTCTCACAGTGACCGTGGCGGTTGGCATTGGTCCTGCTGTCCGTGCCAGAACCGGGCTAAGGGTGGTGGTCGGGCCTTTGGCATTCTGATGGCCCCCCAGAAAGGGGTGTTGGCATGTCCTTTCTGTTTCTCTCCCCTCATTTGCTCTTCTCTCTCAGTCGGAGCAGCAGAAGCAGCAGCAGCAGGCTGAGAAACTGCACCGGCAGGAGAGGAAGGCCATGCGCCGCTCAGCAGGACATCTCAGGTCCCGGCCCAGGCGGGGGCGGCCGTTCCACTGAGTCCAGAGCCGGCCCCACGCGTGACCCCGAGGAGCTCAGTGCATCTCCCCTGCTGGATCGTCGTTGATTCGGGCGTGTTAGCCACAGCCAGGGTCGGGCAGCCCTCGAGTCCCGGGGAACCCTTGCATCTGCAGAGAGAAGTCCAGACCGGGCTGTGGTCCCCAGGCCTCTGGTCAGACTCTGGGGCTGGGACTGCTGGCCACGTAGCGCCCTGGGGCACTTCTGTGTCATGTGGCTCCCCAAGAACATTGTTCCTTCCCCTGGTTTTAATCCCACGCGAGAGGTGGGTGTCTTCGAATACTGTGAGATGTGCCCGTGAGCCGAGAGAGTCCTGGGCTGCAGACCAGGGCCTGGGGTCTTCTGGGACCATCTGCCCTGCCCACTGCCGCTCACGACTCCGCTCGGCCCCCCACCCCTGCCCCAAGAGGCCACTCCCGTCTCGCCCAACTATGGGCTTCGGTCACGTTTGTGTTTTTAAGAATGTGCCGGTAAGTGTGTTTATGTGTTGGTCTGGGATTTTTTAAAGCACATTTTTATACCAAGAGAATGTAAATTAAATGGTAATAGCCATCTAAAACAGAAAGTGGGAGCTACTGGATATTCTTTTAACTTGGCACAGGATTAAATACAGATTTTTTTTTTCCCCCAATGTCTTAAGTGCAATTAGAGATATACTGGCTGGAGACAACGTTTATAAAAATAAATGCTTTTGTTTGAACAGCTTCTTGGAGAGAGACCCATTCCTTGAGTTAATTTGAAAAATTACTTTGGTTTCTTTGTATGCAAATGTGTGAAGAGTCTCTGAGATAGTGACTCTTGGGGTTGTAAATGATAGAATCTAAGCTGAGATGTCACAAGCAGAAAGGCAAAAGCATTAATGAACACAGCCAGGCTGGAGAGTGACCAACTCAGGCCCCCGGGATCCAGGTCTCCGCACTCAGGCTGGCCTCCTTTCTTGTCTCCCTCCTGTTGGGACCTTTCTTCCGTCTCCTCAGTCTCCCCTCCTGTCTTCCTGCAGCCCTGCAGACTGGGAACAGCACAGGTCAGGCTGTGACCTCTGTGGTCTGAGAGGGAGAGGATGTTTCCAGGAAAAAAGAGAGAGTGTGTGAGTGTGTGTGTGTGTGTGTGTGTGCGTATGTACGGACACGTCACCAAAAAGAGACTCTTATTATCTGGAGGGCCCTCTGTGGTCTGAGAGGGAAAGGATATTTCCAGAAAAAATAAAAGAGAGAGAGACAGAGTGTGTGTGTGTGTGTGTGTGTGTGTGTGTGTGTGTGTGTGTACGTGTGTGTGTACACACAGACACATCACCAGAAAGAGACTCTTGTTACCTGGCGGGCCCTCTGTGGTCTGAGAGGGAGAAGATGTTTTCAGAAAAAAAAAAGGAGAGAGGGTGTATGTGTCTGTGTGGTGGGGTGGGGTGGTGTGTGTGTGCGTGCGTGTACACAGACACGTCACCAGAAAGAGCCTGCTATTACCTGTGCAGCCAACACGACTTGTGTTGTGATACCAGAGGGCCCCCACCGTTCCTTTCTTGGCCCGTCCCCTGGTCTGTTCTCAGGGCTCCAGCTTGCTGTGACTTGTGTCTCCCACACTGTTTGAGAAGAAGGTAAAGAAGGATGCTGCCGGCTGGCGTGTTTCCCCGGGGTTGAGGAACCTATTTCCAGACCTGTGCTGGGGTCAGGCTCTTCTGCACCTATACCTGGACTTCCCAGCTCCCCCTTTTCTTTCTTTGGGGTCCTCCCTGTGGTTTGGGGAGCCAGTACACCTTTTGGGGAGTTTCCAGAAGCAATGCTGCTTCTGGCCAAGGGGCCTTGCTTGCCTGTGAAGTGAGGGCTTGTCTTAAGTCTGGAGCCTCAGCAGGTCCAGGGCGATTGTGTGGGCCCGTCCAGGATGCCTGAGATGGGGGCACCGGGGCTGGCCTGTGACTCAGCGGGCAGTCCCAGCCCTGTTGCTCCCAGCTGGGCGTCCCCTGGCTGTTTAACCTCTCTGGGTCTTGTTTCCTCCTGAAGGTGGGCCTGATCCTTGCTTGTGGTGAGGAGCGCGTGGGGCCCGCATGTCCGCAAGCGCCTGGCACAGTGTGAGGTTCTGCAGGGCTCCGTGAAGTGCTGTCGGCACCGTCCTGCCCCCACGCTGCACACACACCCTCCGAACTCAGCGTGTTCCTTAATACCAAGGTGTTCCCAGGCTGAGGTGGCCCTGAGCATTTGTTCTGGGGGATTCCTGAAAGGGCAGATGGAGGCCTGAGCTGAAGCTGTGAGGGACGTTGAAGACAACTTGCCGAGTAGATAGAAAGCTGCAGAATGCATCCTCAGGGCCCTCCTGTTCCCCTAGGGACCCTTTGAAACAGCCTCTCCTCTTCAGGGTGGCTGTTTCTGAAACACCTGCTATAAACCCCATGTTATCGTGGAAGTACCTTGTGTTTCTAAAATGTCACATGAGTTTTGTGCTCCATGATTTCTGATCGCTTCCTTGCAAGCCTGAGAACATGACCGCACTTCTCCTGGGCTTCCACATGAAAGGTGCCGGCAGGGCGTCCACGAGCCAATGGGAGAGGCCCAGCCGGAAGCTGGGAGCCTGGGTTTTACCATCAGGACCATCCTAGGGTTGTTCAGTTGCTCAGTCTTGTCCGACTCTGCGACCCCACGGACTGCAGCACGTCAGGCTTCCCTCTCCTTCACTTATCTCCTGGACCTTGCTCAGACTCATGTCCATTGAGTCAGTGATACCATCCAACTGTCTCATCTCTGTCGCCCCCCTTCTCCTTATGGAAAATTTCAAACCCAAACCAAAGCCAAGGACAGCGGAATGAGCTTCCGTGTACCTATTCACTGTCCAACTTCAGTAATTAACAACACAGACTCCCCTGGTGGTACAGTGGATAGGAATCCACCTGCCAATGCAGGGGACACGGAGACACGGGTTTGAGCCCTGGCTCAGGAAGATTCCACGTGCCGCAGAGCAATTACGCCCACACACCACCGTTACAGAGCCCCCACACCACAGCTGGAGCCCGGGCTCTGCCACAGGAGCAGTCACCACAATGAGAAACCCGTTCACTGCAACAAGAGTAGCCCCTGCTTGCCACAACTAGAGACAGCTGGCTCACAGCAGCAAGGACCCAGTGCAACCAAAAACGAGCAATTTTTAAAAATTGAAGAAATGATTAATGACAGTGATGCAAGCGCATCTATTTTCCTCTTTGCTCCTATCCATTGGCCTTTTATTTTGAACTGTTTTATCCCAGACATCATGTCATTTTACCAGAAATACACATAATGCTTTACTAACTTATTGTTTGTCCCATTCCCCCCACCCCACACACACACACCAGAATGTAAACTCCATAAGGAAGGAGAGGAGAGGGGGTTTTTTCCCCCGTTTCTGGTCTGTTTTGCTTACTGCTATATATCAGTCATCTAGAACAATGCCTGTTACATAGTAGCTACTTAATAGATATTTATCAAATAAATAATGTTTCAAGTTAGATGACAACTGTAGGTTGAATTTTGGATTAAATAAGAGGGGTGATTCTTACTTGACAAGAGCTTTTTCAGAGCTGAAATGCCTATTTGAATAGCTCAGGAAAAAAGAGGGAAAAGGGAATCAGAAATAGTGACTATAGAACCGTTAGTAGGAATTTCAGTGTACAGAAGAATAGAAAATGTGAGATCAAGAGTTTTTGAAAAAGGAGAGATTCCAGCATGACCAAACACCTCTGGGGATAACCCAGAAAAAGGAGACAGTGGTGTCCGACAAGGGATCTTTATTGGTGTGAGATCCATTAGTAGGCAGTTCCTATTGCTGTGTAAGAGATTATCTCAGAACATAGTAGCTTAAAGTACCAGCTGTCAAACAGCATCAGTGGGTCAGGAACTCAGGAGCAGCTTTGCGGGATGGGTCTGACTCCTGGTCTCCACAATCAGCTAAAGGCTTGACTGGGGAAGCCCCTTTCCAAATTCACACACATGGCAATGGGCGGGAGGCCTCAGCTCTGTGCCACATGGGCCTCTCCATAGGGCCTCATGGGTGTCCTCCCCTCACCCAGAGCCAGGGATCCAAGACAGCAAGAGAGACCGAGGCCACAGTGCTTTTCTGATCTGGTTTAGGGCTGGCACGTCATCACTTTTCTCTGATCTGTCTCTGGTGAGTCACTAAGTACAGTCCATGCACAGTGGAAGAGAAATTAGGTACCATCTTTTGAGTGGAGGGAGTATTAAGTGGGGTTGCCAGATAAAATACAATTACATTTAAATTTCAGACAAACATAACTTGGTATAGATATGTCCCAAATATTGCATGGGGCATATTTGCCTTAAAAAATCTGAAAATCAGATGTAATGGGTGGCCTGTATTTTTATCTGCTAGATTTGGCCACCCTAGGAAGCATCAGTAGACATATTTTAGCAAGACCTCATTAGCCAAAGAAGGATAGGTTGGAGTACCCAGAGGCATGGACTTTACCTAGACAACACAGGGCAGAGGATGCAGGCAGTTCAGATCGGCAGGCAGCACGGAAGCAGGTGGGTGTTCTAATTGCTTCTGTTTTCTCATTGGGCTGAGGTGAGTTTCTTCCCCTGCTGACCGTGCCCTGAACTTCCGTGCTTGTGACCAAGCTCACCCTTGATTTCAGAGCCTTTGTTCTCTTTGAATCTCTTAATCCCCAGGAACTGTCCATCGGTTTCCTCTCTCTCCTTCTTACCCCTCCACCCCCATGAGCACATTTGGAGAACACTCATCACTCGTTCAGAGTAATAAATACAGGACATGGAGTTGAGTTGAGAATCCTGGGCTTTTGCTTTTCCTCTGATTTTATTACCCCTCTGAGTTTCCATAATTCTACCTCAGTGTCTTTCAAATTTTTTTTCACTGTGTCCCATAGTAAGAGATACATTTGACCCTGGAGAAGGAAATGGACAATATTCTTGCCTGGAGAATCCCATTGACAGAGGAGACTGGCAGGCAACAGTCCATGGGGTTGCAAAAGAGTCTGAGACGATTTGGTGACTAAACAATAGCAAATATGTATAAATATTATAAGTTGACCCTTGATTGTTTCTTCAACTTCTCTGTCCAAATGGCAGAATTTTTTTTTTGTTCTCCTTGGCAAAATACGGTGCTGCCTTATATTTGGAATTGCCTTTTAATTAGGCCTATACAGTGGCTTGATTTAGAAACTGCTCAGTCCCACAGTCTTGTCCTACTCTTTGTGACCCATGGACTGTAACCCCAGGCTCCTCTGTCCATGGGATTCTTCAGGCAATAACACTGCAATGGGTTGTCATGTCCTCCTCCAGGGGATCTTCCCGACCCAGGGATCAAATCCACATCTCTTGTGTCTCCTGCATTGGCAAGCAGGTTCTTTGCCACACCTCGGAAGCCCAAATACTACACACCTTTTTGTACATGTAAGGAATACTCCAGTCTTAATAGTTTTGATTTTTTTTTTTTGGCTGCACTGGGTCTTTGTTGTAGCATGCTGTTTTCTCTAGCATGTGGGATCTTAGTTCCCCAACCAGGGATCAAACCTGCGTCTCCTGCATTGGAAGGCAGATTCCTGATCACTGGACCACCAGGGAGGTCCCCATTCCTAATAGTTTTTATTCTTGAAATTCATTTTTTTAATCCCCATGTAAATTTTCCAAAATTAGTGCAATAAAAGTCTAACTGATTTGAAAGAATTCTTTTGGGAATTAGGGTGCTGCCTCCTACTTAAGACTTAACC